ATTGATCAGCTTGACTTTAACATTAGAGATTTCACTCATCAAAAGGCAAATTAAAAAAGCAAAAAAGACAAGATGTGACTTGCAGAAAATATTTTCAGTACAACTGATGAAGAATTCCTATTATGAATATATAAAAGCCTAAAAATTAATAACAAAAACACAAACAACCCAGCAGATCAATGGGTAAAAAAAAAACACGAATAAGCATTTCACAGATGGAGAAACACACACGAGCAATGAACATATGAACAGATGTTCAACCTCATTAGTGATCAAACCACAAGGAAAACCACTATGCCTCCATTAAATTGTCACAAATTTAAAAGTCTAACAATATCAAGTGTTAGAGGAGATGAGAACCCATGTGAGTTCTTGAACATTGCTGCTGTGAGTCTACATTTGGCAGTACTATTTAGGAGAACAGCTTTGTGTTTCTTCAAACTGAGCATGCATCTCCCCTCTGAGCCAGCAACCCCAATCCTAGATGTATATATTGATGCAATTCCAATAAAAGTCTCAACAGATAGGTTTTGTGAAACTGGAGAATCTCATTTTAAAATGTGTGCGGACTTGTGAAGAACAATGTGGAAGGACTTGGCTTCCAGATAGCACAACCTATTACAAAGTAATGTAACTAGGAGAGTGTAGGACAGGCACAGAAAGAGACAAATAGACAAATGGAACAGAAAAGTGATAAGAAATGGTGACATGACAAGAGGTGTTACAGACCAGTAAGGAAAGGACACATGTGTACTTAGGGCAGCTGGGCAACTGGGGATCAAAACAGAAACCAAGACTGGTTAGAGGTGAAGGCACACAGGCTATCGAAACTATGGCCGCTGGAGAACTTCAGAGGCAGGGAGTCCTCCAGCAAAATGTAGTTGAAGTTTTTCCTGAGGCCAAGCTCAGAGTGGAAAAGTACTGGGAAGGCAAGTGGTCTGACTCTGAGGAGGGCTGGTCATACAGCTGGTCTTCTTCTCAACATGCGCTCACCTGTTTCTGGTCGGCTGGTTCCAGTTCAGTGTGCTCAGTGCTCAGAATGAGGCCTTGCTCCTGAGAATTTATTGCTTGTTGGAATTTATTGCAGTTATCTGCTTTTCTCAATTAATAGAACTGCCTTGAGGCACAGAAATTCAGTTCAGAGTTCACGACTGGAAAAACATCGTTTCTCACAATTTTCTGTAAAAACTGAAATTAGACTTGACCTCACCTCAAAGAAAACTTTATTCGAGCAGCTGAAGGACATAAAGGGGAAAGGCAAAACTGTGAAACTGTTAGAAGACAGCATAGGAGACGTCCTTTATGACTTTTGGGTGGAAAGGGGTCCTTAAACAGACACAAGGAAAATTATCGCCAAATCATAAAAACCACCACAATATTGTAAAGTCACTAGCCTCCAAATAAAATTAAAATAATTATCACCAAATCAGACAACATTAAAATCAAAATACAACCCTCAGAATGAGGGATGCTATGTTCCACATTTCTAGCCTACAACATATTAGTATACTGAGTATACAAAGAAGTCCTACTGATCAATAAGGAATAAATGAAGCTAAAATTTGAAAAATGGGCACAATTCATTAACAAGCATTTCATAAAAGAGAAAGATAAATGTCCTATCAACACAAGAAAAGATCTTCAGTGTCATCAGTTGTCAGGGAAATGCAAAGTAAGAAAACAATAAGATACTATTTTCTATCCACCAGATTGACCAAAAAAAAAAAAAATTCAGACTATGATGTTATATCTTCTCAGGGTGTGGGGTGATGTGGGCACTTGACCTTTGACTCAGAAAGGCCATCACAGATGACACTCTTCAGAGAGACTCTTGCACGTGTACCCTGCTAGACATGTGCAATAATACTTCTGGAGGCTTTATTCAGAATAGAAAAGACAAACAATACACGTGTCTGTCCACTATCAATGGGCTAAATGAGTAGAGGTCTTTTCATGCAGTTGGGTTACGAAGTTGGTTACGAAGGTGCAGTGGCAGCTCCAGGCAGGCATCCACGTGGCAGAAGCTCAAAACGAAAAAGAAGAAAAGCACAGAAGAGAGTGCATGCCTGTGGTTTCATTTTCAGAAAACTTAAAAACAGGCAAGACTCTGGCATGAGGAGACAGGATGAAGATTACGGTGGGGGCGGGGGCGGGGCGTGAGGAGGGGCTGCTGATCCTAAAGGGGAGAAGGACAGTGAATGTGTCCGCTTTGTGGGAAGTCTCCAAACTTCCTTTGACTTGTGCTCTTTGCTGTAGGTAGGTTATATTGCAAAAGAGAAGCTTGAAAAGTCTGGGGCAGCAAGTTTAGGAAGACTTCAGGAATTTGTAAAATCCAAGCAAAATTAAATAGTGGATTGCCTAACATAACTGGCAAAAATATAAAGCAAACCAAGGACACAACAGAATATTCAAAAGAACAGGAGGGGAAGGTCTGTGAGCCTTGCACAAGACCTGCATGGTACCATGCCTGCAGCCTCTGACCCAGCCATTCCCAGTTCAGCAATTTGCCTTAAGGAACAACGTGGGCAAGATAAAAAGGACTGTGAAGGTGTGTGTAAGGAGGCAGCTTTGATCTCCCTCCCCTGGCTGATTGAAAGCTCAGTGCAAGGTGGTCAGTTCAACTTCCTCTTCAAGTCTGATCAGAGGATGGTCTCCCACCGAGTGGCATCTGAGATGGAGGGTGTGTGGTGGGATCTCACCCCTGTATCAATCAAAACATCCTTTTGATGCATGAGGCAGGGTGCTCAGGGCTGGTGTACTGGGATGACCCAGAGGGATGGGATTGGGAGGGAGGTGGGAGGGAGTGTCAGGATGGGGAACACATGTACATCCATGGCTGATTCATGTCAATATAGGGCAAAAACCACCACAATATTGTGAAGTAATTAGCCTCCAATTAAAATTAAGAAAAAAAAGTGTACAACTCACTAGCTTTTAATATATTAACAGATTTGTGTCCGCTTTCCAGTTTTTATATACCTATGCTGCTTAAGTTGCCTGTAATTTAAATTATTCTTAAGTGTCTATTTACCTCAAGAATAAATAAGTATATTCCAAAAAAAAAGAACACCTATTCGGTATTTCTCTTTGCATTTTTTGAGGCAGTAAATTCCTAACCTCCTGTGGTTTGCCCTGACCCCAGCCCCTGGCTTGCTTAGGCCCAAAGTCCAGGAGGCATTCTCGAAGCTTCAATTCTTTCCCATACCTCATCCAATCACTGATCAAATCCTGATAGCTCTCGCTTCTCCCTCCATCTATATTCTGACACTGACTGTAACTCTGCCAATCCCCACCCTGGTGCCAACAAGGCTATGTCTCACCTGGATTTTGGGAAACTTCCTGGCTGGTCTCCCTGCTTTGGACCTTCTCAACACAGCGACTGAGATGACCCTTTAAAAACACCCATCAAATGACTTTCCCACTTTCTGTGCACTCCCAGGAGAACCCAGATCCTTTCGGAGGCCCGCCAGGTCTTAGCTCTGCCCCAAGCTTACTCTCACCATAGCCCCCTGGCGCTGCCGTGTCTTCCACTCTAGCCAAGCTTGCTGTTTGCATTGTTACTTGCTCAGAACAGGAGGTGTGCCATAGTGTTCACGGGGTGAGTGATTTCCAACTCGGAACAGCAAGTTCAATGCAGTTCAGTTCAGTCGCTCAGTCGTGTCTGACTCTTTGCAACCCCATGTACTGCAGCACACCAGGCCTCTCTGTCCATCACCAGCTCCCTGAGTTTACTCAAACTCATGTCCATTGAGTTAGTGATGCCATCCAACCATCTCATCCTCTGTCATCCCCTTCTCCTCCCGCCTTCAATCTTTCCCAGCATCAGGGTCTTTTACGATGAGACAGTTCTTTGCATCAGGTGGCCACAGCAAAGTGGAAAGCAAATGAATAATTTGTAAAACTATAACCTGCATTACATGTATAATAGTGAACAAGTAGGAACACCCTAGGGCTTCCCTGGTGGTTCAGCTGGTAAAGAATCTGCCTGCAGTGCGAGAGACCTGGGTTTGATCCCTGGGTTGGGAAGATCCCCTGGAGAAGGGAAAGGCTACCCACTCCAGTATTCTGGCCTGGATAATTCCATGGACTGTATAGTGCATGGGGTAAGTTATTATGGGGTGGTGGTTAAATGACTTCAGTAGAATCCACTGCAAGAAATACTATGCAGCACTTACTGACACAGAAAGATAGCCACTATATGTCATAGAGTGAAGGAAAAAGTAGGCTACAAAATATGATAGGTTGGTGAAAGAAAGGATCTCAGTGAGCAATTTTCTGCAATTGTGTATACATCAGCATTCACTCCATTAAAAAAGCCCATGTTTACATTTGTTTGGGAAATGCCTGTTCTACTCTTTTGTGGAGATCCATGTTAGCTTGTGAAAGGCTTTTAGAAGTGCTGGAGCAAAGAAATACATTCACACTTATTTAATTCAGCATCTCTCCAACCTAATTGGCCACACAGTCCTATTGTCTCATAACATTTATTAAAACAGAGCTATTGCTTTTGAGAACAGATTTTGGGAAACTGATAGTATAAGAATAGAAAAAAGTTTGAAAGAAGATACACCAAGATATAAAGAATGTTTGTTTCTGGGTGCTATAATTATGGGTATTTTCTCTTCTTTCTATATTTTATTATTTTTTGTGATAAGTATGTATTATTTGGGGCTTCTCAGATGGCTCAGTGGGAAAGAATTTGCCTTCCAATGCAGGAGACAAAGGTTCCATCCCTGAATTGGGAAGATCCCCTGGAGGAGGAAATGGCAACCCAGTCCAGTATTCTTGTCTGGAAAATCCCACAGACAGAGGAGCCTGGTGGACTACAGCCCATGGGGTCACAGAGAGTCAGACACGACTGAGCACGAGCATGATGTATGATTTTATAATTAAAACAGTAATGAGTCTATTATCATTTTGTTTCAATTGCATGTTTTAAAGGAGAAAATAAAGGCAAAGATCGTTTAAGATATAAGACAATTTAATTTTACCTGGTAGATACTTCCTTATTGTACACAAATAGCATACTCTCCACTCTCTTGGAATCCAGCAAGCTAAGCATTACACTTGTCCCATTGAATCTTCTCATACTTCATTGGACTGGTTCACCTATTAGAACACTGGGAAAGGAAGAGAATGATAACTGCTGAACTGAATTTGAATTCCAACACACTGTCTTGGTCTGCAGAGTTACTTTGCCATTATATCACCATTTCCAAGGTAGGGTTTTGGATGGCTTTTTGTGTTAGTATGAACCAAGTGATTTCATATCGTGAAAAGGCTTTCATGACTTGAGAAAGTAGGAGTGTAGGATTGGATGTAGAGGTAGAGTAGAAGTAAGTTCAGATAGTTTTTCTTGTTTTGAAGTTTCTTTTTAGGGGGAGGAGCCAAGATGGCGGAGGAATAGGACGGGGAGAACACTTTCTCCCCTACAAACTCATCGAAAGAACATTTGAACGCTGAAGTTTCTTTTTAAAAACCCCCTAACTAAACAATATGCTTTGTTGTGGAAAGATTGAAAAGGGCAGACAAAAATAAACATGAAACTAAGTAACAACAACAATCATGATTATTAAAATATTCACTATCTGAAGGAGATAACCAATGTTCAAATCTTTGGTTAGATCCTTCAAGGTTTTTTTTCCCCTGGAAGTATAGTTTTTTCACAATAAATTGGGTGGAATTGTATATCTTCCATTAAAATAGGTGTTTTTTTTTAACTCAACAATATTTCATGACTCTGATTCCATGTGATTAGTCTTCTACAACAATGTATGAATGTTCACGGCTTTCTTTAACCAGCCAAGAATCATTTCAGTTGGTTCTATTTCTTTGCTAATGAAAGCCATACTAAAAATTCCTTATACAAGTATTTCTGCATTTCATGATTGCTGCCAGAGAGCTGAGAATTCTCCAGGCTTCAGTGGGGATTTGTTTAGCTACCCAGCAGCTATCCTAAGCCTTCATTGCAGCCACCACTAATGCTTTTAGAGGGTGAATAATGAGGCACAGAGAAACTGTTTGCAGTCCTTACTGCGAAATGTAATCATAGAAAATCAAATATTAGTGCCAGTCCACTGTGGGCTCAGTCCCAAGTGCCCGTCTTTCTGTATGACTTGAGACTCAAGCTTTCCTTTGTTTCCACCACATGTGACAAAATTATGCCTTGAAGTATTTGTTTCTGCTGTATTATTTTGGTCCTTTATCTACCAAAAAGTTCGTGATATGTCTCTTGCATCTATCATTTTTTTCTCTAATCTTACTTTCTCTAAAGTCTTTGCTTATTTAATAGAGCCAGTTTTGGGGGTCCTGCTTTCCTTATCTCCTTTTATATTTTGTCATCCACGTCTTTTTTTTTTTTTTGCTCTTATCGTCCTCGCTTGTTTCCAGCAAAGGTTTATTGGTTTTTCTCCCCAGGCTGAGCCATTTACTTCAAAGAAGGAAGTCTTTCTCTTGGCATGTTGCCTAACTATCTTCGCAGAAATCCTTCAGATATTTCTGAGGCAGCTGGCCTGCCGGCCGGAGTTAAAACCACAAGGACTTAAAAGATATGGAATCGCATGCATCTTGGTTTGACTCCCGGCTCCTGCAGTTGTGACATGCAATCTTCCTCTGGGCTTGGCAAGGAGGGACAGGATTGGTGAATACAGAGCCTGTACTTCCTGGGGTGGCCTAGGTCCCACAGCTGCCACTCAAGGTGTACTGATAAAGGGAAGACCACTCCAAAGGGGTCACTCGAGGCCTTGCTGTGCTTGCAAGGCAGTTCAGCTTCTCCCTTCGGTCCCTGCCCTGCACCGGCGTTGACCCCTGATAAGGGATCCTGATAAGATGCTGCACACTCCCACTACCCAGCTTGCTTCCAGAGTGTCTGTTGGTCTCAAGTCCGGGTGTGGCTCCTCTGGGGAAAAAGAACTTTGAACCGAAATCAACCCGTGTGCCCCTGATCACCACCTCCGCCATCTTCCATACAGTGAAGGAACAGGAAGTGGACAACCACCATTAACCCTCCCTTTGGAAAAGAGGAAGACCGGGAGGCATGTAACAGCCCCTGCTCTGTAGTCATTCTGGAATCCTGCTGGTCAGACACTCAGCAGGCCAACTCTTCCATCAAATTGAGCTCCCTGGCCCACCACGGCCCATCCTCTGGGGGGCTCCTCTGGTCTACTGTTCCCTGCAGCTGCATCTGAAGTGTCAGGGAGCAAGCCTCCTGGGGCCTTCAGAGCCCGTGTCCTTCCCAGGTCCAAATACTGCTTTACAGCTCAAACAACAAATAAGCTCACTGAGTTCTGTGTGGCTCCAATCAGTCTAGTGTGCTGGGAACCATATCCAACTTTGCTTCCCAAACATGGTTCTCCATCCATGGGTGTTTTGAGGTTGTCAGGAACCACACCCTTCACCTGATCTTTGACCACAGCCACTTGATTAGATTCTATAGTTTGAAAACAGCTGTCCCCTACACAAAGCCTTTTCAATCCAGGTTTCTCCACCTGGGCTCTGTCTCACCTCAGAGTCCTGATACAGCAGGCTGTAATTATTCAATCGTGTTATTTCTCTATCTCTAGTAACCAGGACAGAGACAGGCAAGTGGTCATCTCTTAGAAAAATATTGATTAATGAAATTGAGGCTTGTCTGGGCTTCCCTGGTGGCTCAGCTGGTAAAGACTCTGCCTGCAATGCGGGAGACCTGGGTTTAATTCTTGGCTTGGGAAGATTCCCCTGGAAGAGTCCCTTCCCATGGGAGAAGGGAAAGGCTACCCACTTCAGTATTCTGGCCTGGAGAATTCCATGAACTGTATAGTCCATGGGGTTGCAAAGAGTCGGACATGACTGAGTGACTTTCACTAACTAGCTAAGCTTTAGTGTTTGGTTAGACATTTCAAGAATCTCTTTGGCTTCACGTGATTTAATAGTAAATATTTTGGTCAGTCTTTGAGGCAATGAAGTGAAGTTGCTCAGTAGTGTCCAACTCTTTGCGACCACATGGACTGTAGCCTACCAGGCTCCTCCGACCATGGGATTTTCCAGGCAAGAATACTGGAGTGGGTTGCCATTTCCTTCTCCAGGAGATCTTCCCAACTCAGGGATTGAACTCCACTCTCCTGCATTATAAGCAGACACTTTACCATCTGAGCCACAAGGGAAGTCCAGGCAATAGAGAAGAGTTAATCATTTGTTTTCCATGTATGATTCCTATACCCAAGGAAAGGATAATTAGGAATTAATGAAGTTACTAAAAAAAGTAATCAATTGCAAATACTGGTCTTTAAATGTCACCTGTCAATGATTGGAAAGGGATGGAGCAGGATGGAGGAAAAAAGAGAACGTGGAGGAGACTTTTTCACAGGTGGAGCTCACATGGCCATTCCTGCCTCTCCCTATGTACCGGTTCCCTCCCCTCCCTCCTCTTCCAGAAGCTTACGTGAGGCAGCAGAGGGTCCCCAGTACTGCTGACATGATAAGAAAAATAAAAATGGCTGCTAGAGGGATCTGGCTCCTGATGAGATCACACAGGTAATCCTTGAAGTTGCTCAGCCAGGACCTGGAATTTTCTGCAGGAAGAGCACAGATGTTCACCGAGTCAATGATGAAGTTGGGATACAAACTCTGGTTCAAGTTCAAAGAGTAGTGCCAGATCTGACATTCTTATAGTGGCCCAGGGCCCATATTTTTAATGACTCTGCTAAGCCAAGTGGTTAAAGGAATACACATTTGGGGAAAAAAAAAAAGTGTATCCTCAGATGGTTTCATCTTTGCCTGTGGTATGTCAAATAGGAGCAATTAGCTCCGTGAATCAATGTGGAACTTTGTGAGAGAGGACCTTGATTTCATAACTACCTGCCTAGAAGGGTGTTTGGAAGGCAAAGGCCCGTGAGTGTGTGGTGAAGAGAAGAGACAGTCACAAGCCCCAGGAGCACCCAGAGGGGACGAACAGGCCTTGGAAGCTGGCAGAAGGAACTACACAGAGTCTGGTGATCAAGCGGAGAGGTAGGGTAAACACAAGTGTCTGTGACCTAAAGTCACAAGGCGTCACCACCCACCACAATTCACTTTCCAGAGCCGGGAAGGACCCAAGCAACACACTGGGCTCTGGGAGCACCTAAGTTGTGGGTCAGTGACCTATTAGCTTTGGCTTACATTTTGCTTCCCTTCTCAAGTCCTTCCTGACCCCTCCCCACAAACAACTGTAATTCTCCCTTTGTCCTCAGGGTGCATTTGTCATTATTTCATGGAAGGTTGACACCTATGGGTGGGGCTGCCCACCTGTGAATGCCTAATCCCTGTCATTTAACACACAGATTGGTGCATGGTAGGTGGGCTCGTGCTGGTTGAACTAAACTGAACCCAACCAGAAATAGTGTACATAAAGATTAAAATCAAATAAAAATAATGAAGATTATTTTAAAATACAAAATCAGTTTTTCCTGACCTGCAATGGGAATCTTAGGTACTATGGAGATGGGAACTTTCATCATAACAGCAAACACACCCATTGAGCGTTGTGGCAGGCCATCTTGGTCTTGTACTCTGAAGGCAGATAAAGGTGACACAGAGGAAGCGACAGTCTCCAGCAAGAGGCAAGTCAGAGAGCACAGCAGAAGTGTGATGCTCAGCAGCTTCAGGACTTCTATGTACTCCCCTGCGCCAAGGCCAGATGGTTTTTCCCTTGGCTCTTTGCAAGGCTGCTTTGTCTGAAAAGTTAAAAACGATGGTTTAGTTTTTTATCACAAAACTACAGCTGTTAATGAACATAAAAAAATTCACTGACTGACACCACTGAGTCCTGAACACAGTCAGTTTCCCAAGCAAAAGACATTCCACATCCAAGAAAGAAAACAGGACGGAAATTTACTGAGCTTCAGCAGATGAGACACCTGCCATTCCCTCCTAACCAGGTCCCCCTTCAGCCTTCTCCAGCTCAATGAGTGGGAAATGCTATAAGTCGTTCAGGTGAACATCGGTGGTGTCGTCTTTGACTTCACTTTTTCAGTCCCACATCTTTTTTGTGTGTGTTTTGTTTTGTTGTTGGGTTTATTACTGCATGCATGCTAAGTCGCTTCAGTCATGTCCGACTCTGTGTGACCCTATGAACAGCAGCCCATCATGCTTCTCTGTCCACGGAATTCTCCAGGCAAGAATACTGGAGTGGGTTGCCATATCCTTCTCCCAGTAGGTACCTAGCCCCTGAAATTCTACTTGTGGTGTTAGCACCCAGGGTTTATTACTAAATCAGCAAATAAGCAGTGTAAATGGTTAACCTGGTACAGGTTTCACGGGATCAGGGAGTACAGTCCATCATGGGAGTGGCCCAGGAATTCTGCAGTCAGTGCAGCTGATGTGAAGGGAGTCACAGGTCACAAGAGTTTGTAGCTTCCTGCCCTTTTTATGATGAGGTTAGGGACCAAGTCCACTGACTACCACATAAGCAAGTGGTAAGTTCCCACTGCACACGTGCCTGTTTGAGTCAGCTTTGCTGACGCAACTTGGGAGAAAATAGAAGTATATTTTGTAGAAACTGTGTGGTTTAGGGTCTAACAGCTGATCTATCAGAGGAATCGGGTCAGCTTGTTCTCTAAAGTGTGTTCATAATCTTGCCACTTCTCACCACCTCCACTGCTACCCATCATCTGTCTTTCTGCTACTATCCTTGCCTCCTTTCAGCTTCTTCTCCACTGAAGAGCCAAGGAGATGTCACTTTGTTGTAAGTCAGATTGGGCCCTACAAACTGCCCTGAAATCACGTCTTATCATCTCCTTTTGATCACTCAACCTCAGTCTCATTTCCTCAAGAAAAGCCATGCACGCTCCTCTCTGTTTGGTTCACATAGGCTGCTCAGGTGCTCAATAATATTTTTTTTTGAATGAATAAATGAATGGGCAGACTTTGGCCAGACTTTTTTCATTGCTGGCCATCCCCATCCCCTTTTTACTTATTACATACAACCCGGCAGTCTAGAAAAGTTTAGTGTTGAAAAGATACCATTTTCTCAGCCATCCTTGCTGCTAGCGATGGCTATGGGCCCCACTTTTGGACACTGAAGCATAATGGAGATTTGACGGGTGGCTTCCGGGAAAACTTTCTGCTGTCTTGGGAAAAGATATGGTGCTACTGTTTACCATTTATGCTGCCTTGAACATTCTCTAAGTGCTACCTGAATTGGAGGAGTCATCTTGTGATCAGCAGGAAAAACATGAGAAAATGACCTGGATTCGGCTCTGACAATTTTAGGCCATGAAACCAACACCTTTATCTGCCCACCTCTCAACTGCTAGCTCTGCAAAAATAAACTCGTATCCAAGCTTTCTATTACTTAAGACATTTACAACTGATACACTCATGCACTGCTGAGACCTGTGTCAGGTAAGGAGGCAAAGAAGCCAGTGAATCTGGCCTCGGTCTTCAGAAGAAGCTGGCCAGAACCTTCCTTTAAGGCTTCTGAAATTCCAAATAGAATTCTCTTCCCTTTTATGATATCATTGACTGCACTTGACCCTCCCACAGTCTCTATCTGACAGCTAAGCATACAGATGTTTTCTTTGGTCTATGTGGAAACATCTGTGCTGATACTAAAACCCATTCTTACGGTAGCCATAGCCTCTTGGGCTTGAAGAATTCTAAGATATTTTGTTTGCCACATGGTATCAACTACACCCTAAAATAGTGTATATATGGCAGTTTAATAGATGGCATTTCATTTCAGTGGGGAAAAAAGGATGGTTTAATATGATGATTGGTTATTCATTTGAATGCACTGACTGAAGTTAGAGTCATACACACACAAAAAAATTCTAGATGGATCAAGGACTAAACAAACAAACAAACAAAAAACCAAACAAACAAACAAACAAAAAAGGACTAAACAAAAATAGAACCATACACATGCTGGAATAAAACATGAGTTTTTTGTAATCTTGGTATAAAAAAATCTACTCTGAGCATGTCATAAAACCCCAAAGCCATAGGTATAACTACTGATAAATTTATTGCATAAAAATGTAAAGTTTTCATACAGAAAAACATTGTAAAGAAAGATCAAACATTAATGACAAATTAAGTGAAAACTTCCATAACATATAAGACAGATAATAGGTTAATGTTCTTAACATACAAAGAACTGTTGTTACAAATCAAAATTTTAAAAAGGATGATCAGATCCATAGAACTGGCATAAATGATGTATCAGTCAGAAAAGCAATGGATAAATAAATTGTCCTGAATATTCATTGGAAGGAATGGTACTGAAGCTGAAACTCCAATACTTTGGCCACCTGATGCAAAGAACTGACTCATTTGAAAAGACCCCGATGCTGGGAAGATTGAAGGTGGGAGGAGAAGTGGATGACAGAGGACAAGATTGTTAGATGGCATCACTTACTCAATGGACACAAACTCCGGGAGTTGGTGATGAACAGGGAGGGCTGGTGTGCTGCAGTCCATGGGGTCACAAAGAGTCAGACACAACTGAGCGACTGAACTGAACTGAACTGAAATAAATTGTGATGTATATTATATAATGGATTGAAAGTGAACATGAAAGTCACTCAGTCGTGTCCAACTCTTTGCGACCCCATGGACTATACAGTCCACGGAATTCTCCAGGCCAGAATACTGGAGTGGGTAGGCTTTTCCTTCTCCAGGGGATCTTTACAACCCAGGGATCAAACCCAGGTCTCCCACATTGCAGGCAGATTCTTTACCAGCTGAGCCACAAGGGAAGCCATAATGGATTACTATACAGCAATTAAAATAAGCCACTAGGAGATATATACAAAGGCTGTTTCCTGTTTGGAGCTGTTTCAAATAGTGCTGCCCTGTCTCTTGTTTCACATGGCAGTTCTGGGTCTAGGTCTTTACCCAACAGAATTATCATAGGGTATCTGTATGCTCAACTTTTATAGATAATGCCAGACTGTTTTCCAAAATAATTATACAAGTTTGAGTTTATTTTTTTACACAAATATGTAAGAGCTTTATTGGCCCTATTAATACAATTTAAGTTTCTTCTATGTCTAATATATGTCTATGTCTAATATAAGGTTCTTCTATATCCAGGAATAAGAATTCTCTTTAGTTCAAAAACTAAATAAAGTCTATGTTTTACTTTTATTATTTTTTTCCATTTATTTTTATTAGTTGGAGACTAATTACTTTACAATATTGTAGTGGTTTTTGCCATACATTGACATGAATCAGCCATGGATTTACATGTGTTCCCCATCCCGATCCTCCCGCCCACCTCCCTCCCCACCTGATCTGTGCCTTCCCAGTGCACCAGCCCCGAGCACTTGTCTCATGCATCCAACCTGGGCTGGTGATCTGTTTCACCCTTGATAATATACATGTTTTGATGCTGTTCTCTCAAAACATCCCACCCTCGCCTTCTCCCACAGAGTCCAAAAGTCTGTTCTGTACATCTGTGTCTCTTTTTCTGTTTTGCATATAGGGTTATTTTTGTATATGGTACGAGGAAATGTTCTAATTTCATTCTTTTACATGTAGCTGTCCAGTTTTGCCACACCACTTATTGAAGAGACTGTGTTTTGTCCATTGTATATTCTTGCCTCTTTTGTCAAAGATAAGGTGCCCATAGGCACATGACTTTATTTCTAGGCTATCTATCCTGTTGCATTAGTCTATATTTCTGTTTTTGTACCAGTACCATACTGTTTTGATGACTGTAACTTTGTAATACAGTCTGAAGTCAGAGAGCCTGATTCCTCCAGTTTTGCTCTTTTTTTCTCAAGATTGTTTTGGCTGTTCATGGTCTTTTTGGTTTCCACATAAATTTTAGAGTTGTTTGTTCTAGTTCTGGAAAAATGCCATGGGTATTTTGATAAAGATTGCCTTAAATTTGTAGATTGCCTTGGGTAGCATGGTCATTTTAACAATATTAATGTTTCCAATCCATGAACACAGTGTCTTTTGTCCATCTGTGTCATCTTCAATTTCTTTCATCAGGGTCTTGTAGGTTTCTGAGTACAGGTCCTCCATTAGCCAAAGCATTTGGGGGATGAATGCAACCAGTGAACTGACATCTAGGACATCTAGACGATACAAGTGCAGCATCTACCTCTCAAATCCACTGATTTCTCACATTAGGCTTGCCACATTCTGCCACACCTTCTCCAGGATTCTGGTTGGTCCTTCTAGAAAACTTATTAAAGGGGGATTAGTGGGATGTGCCAGAGCCCGGACTGCTGTTTTAATCCTAAGAGATGCCTGAATAAATCACTTGAGTGCCAAGCATATTTGTCTTTGCTTTTCCTGTGTAGCAGCCACCCTGAATACTCAGAAACATCAGGGTTAATTACTCCTTCTAAAGTGGAAACTCCCATCTGTGAGATAAGAAAGAGAACAGTGCTAATGGATGTCAAGATTAAACATCTCTCTCTCTCTCTCTCTCTCTCTCTCTCTGCTACTGGGTCAAGGTTCCACTTCTAACATTTTTTAAAATGTTAGCTTCGCCTCATAAACTATATCAGTTTTTACTGCAATTTACATGAAATCTGGTTTTCTAACTCACTCAGTTGTTTTTCTAAGCTGTCTATCCTGCCATTCAGTGGCTCGATTTGTTTTTGTAAAATTCCATCATTCACATTTAAATTGCCAGTAGAAAAACAGAACTCTTAAAGGCATTTGGTCTTACATGTCAATGTTTTATTCAACTGATTATTGACTATTCCAGCAGGAAGACAAAAGAGCTGGTTCCAAGAGCATTTGAAAAAGAGAGATGTATGCGGTCAATGGGAAAAGAATGCTACAAGAAGATGATTGAGGTTGACATCAAAGTGGTTAACCTTTTGCAGGCAGTCAAACCACATCATTTGGGGGATTAACATCTCTACCAGGCTATACAACAAAGCAGCTTATTGATTTCTATAAATTAATCTCTGATCTTCACTGACATTTCCAGGACAGTAAACCATTTTGAACCTTATCTAGTAGGGGCGGGGCAAGGCAGGGGTTCCTCCTGGAAAGGGCATGTGGCTGACTGGAGGAATTTTCTCTCTGCTTCCACCAGGTCAGTTTCCTTCTGACTCCCCGAGATTTAACTCTGTAAAGAGGGCCTCTAGTTTTCAGTCATGGTACAGAATTTCCAGGTACATCGGGTTGGGTCTCCTACCCCAGAGAGCCACGGAGTTTCCTCATTTTTCTGAGGAAACATTAAAAACATGTCCTTTAGAACCCTAGTATGATCGTGACCCTTCTTCATCACCACAGAGGAGGAAGTGACTGCCACTTCCGGAGGAGAATGCTTTCCACATGACTCCAGAGAACGCAGTCCCCATGGCAATTGATTTGGGTGGCTTCAGGGCACAACTGCTGGCATAGAGGCATTGAAATACAGCAAAAACGATGGCATTGTGGGCAGCGTGGGGCAGGAAGTCACCTGGCGGAAGGGCTCACAGGGACGCTGCATCTGAGTTAGGAAAGGCTCAGGGACAGGAGGGAGGCACCGGCCCTTAGTACTGCTGCTGCGCCTCGCAGCCCAGAAGCTCCAGCCTCAGGGCAATATGGTTTGCCCAGCTCCGTGGGTGAATCCGAAGGAAGCGGGTAAACAGCGGGGGGTCTAGAGCATTCACCACGGGGGTGAAGGAGTCTTGATTTCCCTGAAAAACCTAAAAGAGGAGAGACAGAATGTGTTGATTGACAGGAAAATAATTACAATCTTATACACCTCCACTGGCTTCCTGCATGGTCTGGAACTCACCAATAGCTCTTCATGGGCACCCACCCCAAAGCTCAACACAGAAGCTTTTTCCATTTCCGGTTGAGGGATCCAAGCTTCCCGTAGTTTGGTAGTTCAGGATTGAACCCTGGGAGGTGACTGAATGACTTAGTCTGTGCCTGGGAAAGGGGGTATGAAATCTAGAATTAAGAGCCTCCTTGCTAACCTGCAGGACTTCCCTGGTGGCTCAGACGGTAAAGCATCTGCCTACAATGCGGGAGGACCCAGGTCCGATCCTTGGGTTGGGAAGATCCTCTGGAGAAGGAAATGGCAACCCACTCCAGTATTCTTGCCTGGAAAATCCCATGGACAGAGGAGCGTGGTAGGCTACAGTTCATGGGGTCAGAAAGAGTTGGACACGACTGAGCGACTTCACTCACTCACTCACTCACTCACTTGCTGACCTGCTGTGGAGCCCTTGCTTCCAGCTATGGCTTACCTCTAAGAAAGTTCTCACCCACTTTCTCAACTAATTCAAGGCAGTTGTAAACATCATGGCATTTTACTAATTTAATCTGCCAAGACTTTGGGTTTAAACATTATCTCTTTAGAGAGCTCTTCATTCTCTGAAACAGGACTCTTGTTGACTCAATTTCATCTAGATTACTTTTCTTTACAACATTTGGTATCTTCTCATTTATCTGTTTACCTGCTTATTGACCATTACCTCTGTTTTCACCACCAAATGTCACTTCCATGACAGCAGAGACCTTGATCACTGATCTTCCATACATGCAAGAAATGCAGTATATACATAGCAAATATACTACAAACATTTGTTACAGTTTGTGTGTTTGATAAAACTTTTGGGAAACAAAGAGATTCTTGGATAAATATTTGTGGTAAACTTTTGAAACCTGTACATCTTCTGTTAGGCTTATTCCTTGTTGTTTCCCCTCAAGAAACTGAAAGAATAACAGAAGGAACACTTACGTCTTTAATGTACAACAGACACCTAGTCTCTGGTCTGTTTTTGTCCTTCATGATGTTGACATTTAAAAAGGCCTAGGACCATTGCATTGATAACGTTGCACATTTTTAGTTTCTGTGACTATTTTCTTAATTATTAAATCTTAGTTCAACATCTTCAGTGAAAATACTAACTAGGCGATGTGTCTTTCCCACTGTATCATATCAAAGGACACATGACACTGATTCCTTCAGAGTTTGAGCCTTACTTAAGATGGTGTCCACCACATCTCACTTTAATAAAGGTAATTACTTTCCTTTTCTTACAATCTGTGGGGTGAGGCTTTAATGCTGTATAAATATTCTCACAAGTACGCAGGTGGGGGTTGGACCATAAAGAAGGCTGAGTGCCACAGAATTGATGCTTTTGAAATGTGGTCTTGGAGAAGGCTCTTGAGAGTCTTTTGGACTGCAAGGAGATCAACTCAGTCAATCCTAAAGGAAATCAACCCTGAATATTCACGGGAAAGACTGGTGCTGAGGCTGAACCTCCAATACTTGGGCCAACTGATATGAACAGCCAGCTCATAGGAAAAGACCCTGATGCTGGGAAAGATTGAGGGCAAAAGAGAAGCGGGTGACAGAGGATGAAATGTTTGGATGGCATCACCGACTCAATGGACATGCATTTAAGCAAACTCCAGGAAATAGTGGAGGATAGAGGAGCCTGACATGCTACAGTCCACAGGGTCGCAAAGAGTTGGACATGACTTATCTACTGAACAACAAAAACAACAACAAAACATTCCGTTTCACATTAAGGTTTCATCCAATGGTTTCAGTATCCACTGAAGTTCCTTACAAGTATTATATACTGTATTGATGGTTACCAATTGGTTTCTTAATTTTGTCATGTCTTCTAAATTTATTATTAATAAATTCTTCTATGGAGAAAAGCCTCTCCTCTCCCTTTGTTTTTGATCACGATTATAGACTCCTGGATTCTTTTTTCATTGTGTATATTGTAATCTATTACTATCATTTTTCTTTTGGATGCTTAAATTGTCTCAAATTTGCCCAGTATGAACCCCTTCAAGCCAGCTCTTGTGTTCCTTTCCTATGGACTCATTAGTCTTTGTGGCATGCCAAAATGTTCCACAACATCTAGTTTGGTCTCAGGTCAAACAACAGGGAGGGAACACCATCCCGCCCATCAACAGAAAATTGGATTAAAAATTTCCTGAACATGGCCCCTGAACAACTCTCAAGTTGTACAACATTTTTTTTTAGTTGACAGTTACAGTGACCAATTAAGCGACCCAGAGTGTACTTCCTTCCTTCAACTGTACTTCACAAGGAACCGGAGCTTTGGTACCAGCAGCAGCCCCTTGCGCCCATCTGCCTCCTAAGGGAGTACAGATGAAATTGGGTAAGTCTCTCCTGGTTCTTAAATCTCCCATACTGGTTAAGATTCTGAGTTTTATTGGCAGTGGAGCAGGTTATCTGCCCCCTCCTAGTAGGAAAGATACTGGGGGGGGGGTGAGTGAAACATTCAGGGCATACCCACTCATGGTCTAGACACTGAGTGGGGCTCGGTTGAAAGATACTGAGGAATTCCCACCCAGTCAAAAGATGCTGGGTGGGGGGTTGGCTGAAAGGTGCCAGGAGAATTGCCCACCCAGTGGAAAGGTACTGGGTAGGGGGGTTCAACTGGGAAAAATTCGAGGAATACCCAGGGCTCAGCTGAAACATGCTGAGGTCACTCCATTGTAGGGGACTGAATGGTCTTGGCTGAGTGGTTAAGTAAGAGGCTCATCTGACACTTTTCCTCAATTTGACTACTATTATAGAATTTGTCATGGAGAAGGAAATGGCAACCCACTCCAGTATTCTTGCCTAGAGAATCCCATGGATAGAGGAGCCTGGTGGGCTGCTGTCCATAGGGTTGCACAGAGTTGGACATGGCTGAAGTAACTTAGCATGCATGCATGCATTGGGGAAGGAAATGGCAACCCACTCCAGTATTCTTGCCTAGAGAATCCCGTGGACAGAGGAGCCTCGTGGGCTGCCATCTATGGGGTCGCACAGAATTGGATATGACTAAAGTGACTTAGCAGTAGCAGAACATGGCCCTGCCCATCAGAACAGGACCCAGTTTCTCTCATTCAGTCTCTCCCTTCAGGAAGCTTCCATAAGCCTTTTATCCTTCTCTATCAGAGGGCTGACAGAATGAAAACCACAATCATAGAAAACTAATCAAACTGATCACATGAACCACAACTTTGTCTAACTCAAATAAACTATGGGCCATGCCGTGTAGGGCCACTCAAGACAGACGGGTCATGGAGAGTTCTGACAAAACGTGGTCCACTGGAGAAAGGAATGACAAACCACTTCAGTATTCTTGCTTTGAGAAACCCATGAACAGTATGAAAAGGCAAAATGATAGGACACTGCAAGATGAACTCCACAGGTCGGTAGGTGCCCAACATGCTACAGGAGATCAGTGGAGAAATAGCTCCAGAAACAATGAAGAGACAGAGCCAAAGCAAAAACCGTGCCCAGTTGTAGATGTGGCTGGTGATGGAAGTAAAGTCCAAAGCTGTAAAGAACAATATTGCAAGGGAACCTGGAATGTTAGGTCCATGAATCAAGGCAAATTGGAAGTGGTCAAACAGGAGATGGCAACATTGAACATTGACATTTCAGGAATCAGCGAACTAAGATGGACTGGAATGGGTGAATTTAACTCAGATGACCATTATATCTACTACTGTAGGCAGGAATCCCTTAGAAGAAATGGAGTAGCCCTCATAGTCAACAAAAGAGTCCAAAATGCAGTACTTGGGTGCAATCTTAAAAATGACAGAATGATCTCTGTTCCTTTCCAAGTCAAACCATTCGATATCACAGTAATTCAAGTCTATGCCTCAACCAGCCATGCTGAAGAAGCTGAAGTTGAACAGTTCTATGAAGACCTACAAGACCTTATAGAACTAACACCCAAAAAAGATGTCCTTTTCATTATAGGGGACTGGAATGCAAAAGTAGGAAGTCAAGAAACACCTGAAGTAACAGCAAATTTAGCCTTGGAGTATGGAATGAAGCAGGGCAAAGGATAATAGAGTTTTGCCAACAGAATGCACTAGTCATAGGAAACACCCTCTTCCAACAACACAAGTGAAGACTCTATACATAGACATTACCAGAGTGGTCAACACTGAAATCAGATTGATTATATTCTTTGCAGTAAAAGATGGAGAAGCTCTATACAGTCAGCAAAAACAAGACTGGGAGCTGAC